TACACGAGAGACAGAGCGAGATTACTTGATAAAGCAAAAGGAATAACTGACGAAAAGAGCGAGAAATACAGAATATTTGGTAAAGAAATACAAATCTGTGACGAAGTGTGCGAGATACAGTGAGCGGTTTCACTGCAGAGAAAAATAGAATTGTGGCAAAAAGTGTGAGAAAGACTTTATATTGCTTATGAGAGATAGAGAGAGAGAAAAAGAGAGAGAGAGAGAGAAAGAGAGGGAGAGAGAGAGAGAGAGAGAGAGAGAGAGAGAGAGAGAGAGAGAGAGAGAGAGAGAGAGAGAGAGAGAGAGAGAGAGAGAGAGAGAGAGATTATACTGGAAAGAAAAATGTCAGTGGCAAAATGTGCAAGATCTTAGGCTCGTACTTTTAAAACCTTTCGCCAGGGCTGGCGAAAGGTTTCGCCGGGCGATCCGGAATTTCGTACTATTAAAATCACGCCTGGCGAACGTTCGCCAGGGCTGGCGAAAGATCATATTGGAACAGCCTGGGGAAGCAAAGGCGCGAGAGCTGTTTGAATACCATTTTCTTGCTTTCAAATTATAAAATAGTAACATATTTGTGTATATGATGTAGGAATCACATCGAAATTCTAAAATATCTTAAAATCATAATTTATTATGAAATAACGTATATACGTATTTTTTTTCAAGACCTTCGATGTTCCAGTCGAGAGCTCAAGACATCAGCTGTATTCCTACCCCCCTACCCCTACCCCCCACCCTCGAGATGACTTATTTAGATTTAGGTTGTTGTTATTTTGGTTGTAAGAATAATGTTCTTTTCACAAATGTTACCAGAATTGTTTTATGGCGGCATGTTTACTTCTGGCTGTAGAAACATAGCTGTAGTGCTCCACCGCCCTATAATGAGGCGTGTCTAATGATACCCTTGTAGGCCTACAGTTCAATATCTTATATCAGTTAGGAATAGTAAAATAGTAATTTTTAAACTCTTTTGTTAAAGTATAGAGTTATTTTTTGTATAAAAGTATAAAGTTGATATGGTATAGTATAAAGTACTTTGAAAACCTTTCGCCAATGCTGGCGTTCGCCTGGAGAAGCTTCGCCAGGCGAACATCTGAGTGAAGGAGGCCTTACTTTTAATCCCAAGGCAAGTGTTCGCCATGCCTGGTGAACGAAAGGGATCGCCAGGCGCTAACATCTTGGATTCCTGCTAAATCTAGCGCTTCAGCGAATGAAAAAAACGCAAGAAAAAGCAAAAGGTTTTAAAAGTACGGGCCATAAAGTTAACCTTGTTATAGTATAAAGTGTTGTATAGCATAAAGTATAAAGTTCATTTTGTTATAGTATAAAGTTATTTTCAACTTCTTTGTTATAGCATAAAGTTAAATTTTAACTCCTTTGTTATAGTATACAGTGAGACTATTGCGGAAACATTTTCTTCTCTCGAGGTTAATAATTAAGTTTAGGTTATGTCATGTGCACTGCACAAATTTGCGCTAGATTTAGCAGGAATGCAAGATGTTAGCGCCTGGCGATCCCTTCGCCCGCCCTGGCGAACGTTGGGTTTAAAAGTAAGCCTCCCTCGCCAGCACTGGCGAAGGTTTTAAAAGTACGGGCCTTAGGGTAAAATATGACCTGAATGAAGCACAAATGATGCAATCCTCTCTCTGGCCCGTACTTTTAAAACCTTCGCCAGTGCTGGCGTTCGCTTGGCGAAGCTACGCCAGGCGAACCTCTGAGTGAGGGAGGCCTTACTTTTAAACCCAACGTTCGCCAGGGCGGGCGAAGGGATCGCCAGGCGCTAACATCTTGCATTCCCGCTAAATCTAGCGCAAATTTGTTTACATCTGCAGTGCACATAACATAACCTAAACTTAATTATTAACCTCGAGAGAAGACGAAAATGTTGTTTCCGCAATAGTCTCACTTTATACTATAACAAAGGAGTTAAAATTTAAATTTATGCTATAACAAAGTTGAAAATATCTTTATACTATAACAAAATTAACTTTATACTTTATGCTATACTACACTTTATACTATAACAAGGTTAACTTTATGGCCCGTACTTTTAAAACCTTTTGCTTTTTCTCGCATTTTTTTTTTTTTCTTTTTATTCGCCGAAGCGCTAGATTTAGCAGGAATCCAAGATGTTAGCGCCTGGCGATCCCTTTCGTTCGCCAGGCCTGGCGAACACTTGCCTTGGGATTAAAAGTAAGGCCTCCCTCACTCAGATGTTCGCCTGGCGAATGCCAGCATTGGCGAAAGGTTTTAATAGTATTTTATACTATACTATATCAACTTTATACTTTTATACAAAAAATAACTTTATACTTTAACAAAAGAGTTTAAAAATTACTATTTTACTATTCCTAACTGATATAAGATATTGAACTATAGGCCTACAAGGGTATCATTAGACAAGCCTCATTATAGGGCGGTGGAGCACTACAGCTATGTTTCTATAGCCAAAAGTAAAATGCCGCCATCAAAACACTTTTGGTAACATTTGTGAAAAGAATATTATCCCTACAACCAAAATAACAACAACCTAAATCTAAATAAGTCATCTCGAGGGAGGGGGGTAGGGGTAGGGGGGTAGGAATACAGCTGATGTCTTGAGCTCTCGACTGGAACATCGAAGGTCTTGAAAAAAAATACGTATATACGTTATTTCATAATAAATTATGATTTTAAGATATTTTAGAATTTCAATATGATTCCCACATCATATCATACAAAAATATGTTACTAATTTATAACTTGAAAGCAAGAAAATGGTATTCAAACAGCTCTCGCGCCTTTGCTTCGCCAGGTTGTTCAAATATGATCTTTCGCCAGCCCTGGCGAACGTTCGCCAGGCATGATTTTAATAGTACGAAATTCCGGATCGCCCGGCGAAACCTTTCGCCAGCCCTGGCGAAAGGTTTTAAAAGTACGGGCCTGCCTCTCTCTCTCTCTCTCTCTTTTCCATTTCCCTTTTTTCCCCATTCTTTCTCCCAACCACCCTTTCCCCATCCCCCTCCTCCTTCCTCTCTTCCCCCACTTTCCCTTTCCTTTCCTATCCCTCGCTCCCAATCCACCTATCAATCAATCATCATAATCATTATCATCTCGATCATTATATCCACGTCTCATTCAAGCATTCCCCAACAGAACGTGAAATCTGCTCTGGAAAAGGGAATGCTCGTGGTGCAGAGTGCCGGCCAGTACCAATGTGCGTGCGGCGAGGAACTCAAGGAATCGAGTCTCAGGAATCATCTTAAGACGCAGAAGCACTTGGAAGAGGTAAGGAAGTAGAGGCTTAGAGGAGTCCCGCAAGATACCGTAGGACGAAGAGGCTTAAGAGGAGGAAAGACTTGGAAGAGGGAAGGAAATGAGGCTTATGAGGAGGAAAGACTTGGAAGAGGTAAGGGAAATGAGGCTTATGAGGAGGAAAGACTTGGAAGAGGTAAGGGAATGAGGCTCAAGAGGAGGAAAGACTTGGAAGAAGGAAATGAGGCTTAAGAGGAGGAAAGACTTAGAAGAGATAAGGGAAATGAGGCTTAAGAGGAGGAAAGACTTGGAAGAGATAAGGGAATGAGGCTTAAGAGGAGGAAAGACTTGGAAGAGATAAGGGAATGAGCGAAGGAAATGAGGCTTAAGAGGAGGAGAGACTTGGTAGAGGAAAGGAAATGAGGCTTAAGAGGAGGAAAGACTTGGAAGAGGGAAGGGAATGAGGCTCATGAGGAGGAAAGACTTGGTAGAGGAAAGGAAATGAGGCTTAAGAGGAGGAAAGACTTGGAAGAGGTAAGGGAAATGAGGCTAAAGAGAAGGAAAGACTTGGAAGAGGTAAGGGAAATGAGGCTTAAGAGGAGGAAAGACTTGGAAGAGGTAAGGAAATGAAGCTTGAGAGGAGAAAAGACTTGGAAGAGGTAAGGAAATGAAGCTTAAGAGGAGGAAAGACTTGGTAGAGGAAAGGAAATGAGGCTTAAGAGGAGGAAAGACTTGGAAGAGGTAAGGGAAATGAGGCTAAAGAGAAGGAAAGACTTGGAAGAGGTAAGGGAAATGAGGCTTAAGAGGAGGAAAGACTTGGAAGAGGTAAGGAAATGAAGCTTAAGAGGAGGAAAGACTTGGAAGAGGTAAGGAAATGAGGCTTAAGAGGAGGAAAGACTTGGATGAGGCTTAGACTTGGAAGAGGTAAGGGAGGCTTAAGAGGAGGAAAGACTTGGAAGAGGTAAGGAAATGAAGCTTAAGAGAAGGAAAGACTTGGAAGGGATAAGGAAATGAGGCTTAAGAGAAGGAAAGACTTGGAAGAGGGAAGGAAATGAGGTTTATGAGGAGGAAAGACTTGGAAGAGGGAAGGAAATGAAGCTTAAGAGAAGGAAAGACTTGGAAGAGGTAAGGAAATGAAGCTTAAGAGGAGGAAAGACTTGGAAGAGGTAAGGAAAAGAGGCTTAAGAGGAGGAAAGACTTGGAAGAGGTAAGGAAATGAAGCTTAAGAGAAGGAAAGACTTGGAAGGGATAAGGAAATGAGGCTTAAGAGGAGGAAAGACTTGGTAGAGGAAAGGAAATGAGGCTTAAGAGGAGGAAAGACTTAGGAATGAGGAGAGGAGGAAAGACTTGGAAGAGGTAAGGAAATGAGGCTTAAGAGGAGGAAAGACTTGGAAGAGGTAAGGAAATGAGGCTTAAGAGGAGGAAAGACTTGGAAGAGGTAAGGGAAATGAGGCTTAAGAGGAGGAAAGACTTGGAAGAGGTAAGGAAATGAGGCTCAAGAGGAGGAAAGACTTGGAAGAGATAAGGAAATGAGGCTTAAGAGGAGGAAAGACTAGGAAGAGGTAAGGAAATGAGGCTTAAGAGGAGGAAAGACTAGGAAGAGGTAAGGAAATGAGGCTTAAGAGGAGGAAAGACTTGGAAGAGGTAAGGAAATGAGGCTTAAGAGGAGGAAAGACTTGGAAGAGGTAAGGAAATGAGCTTAAAGGAGGAAAGACTTGGGAAGAGGGAAGGAATGAGGCTTAAGAGGAGGAAAGACTTGAAGAGGGAAAGGAATGAGGCTTATGAAAGGAAATTGGAAGAGGGAAGGAATGAAGCTTAAGAGGAAAGACTTGGAAGAGGTAAGGAAATGAGGCTTAAGAGGAGGAAAGACTTGGAAGAGGTAAGGGAAATGAGGCTTAAGAGGAGGAAAGACTTGGTAGAGATAAGGTAATGAGGCTTAAGAGGAGGAAAGACTTGAAAGAGATAAGGGAAATGAGGCTTAAGAGGAGGAAAGACTAGGAAGAGGTAAGGGAAATGAGGCTTAAGAGGAGGAAAGACTAGGAAGAGGTAAGGGAAATGAGGCTTAAGAGGAGGAAAGACTAGGAAGAGGTAAGGAAATGAAGCTTAAGAGGAGGAAAGACTTGGAAGAGGTAAGGAAATGAGGCTTAAGAGGAGGAAAGACTTAGAAGAGGTAAGGAAATGAGGCTTAAGAGGAGGAAAGACTTGGAAGAGGGAAGGAAATGAGGCTTAAGAGGAGAAAAGACTTGGAAGAGGTAAGGAAATGAAGCTTAAGAGGAGGAAAGACTTGGAAGAAGGAAATGAGGCTTAAGAGGAGAAAAGACTTAGAAGAGGTAAGGGAAATGAGGCTAAAGAGAAGGAAAGACTTGGAAGAGGTAAGGAAATGAGGCTTAAGAGGAGGAAAGACTTGGAAGAGGGAAGGAAATGAGGCTTAAGAGGAGGAAAGACTTGGAAGAGGGAAAGGAAATGAGGCTTATGAAGAGGAAAGAATTGGAAGAGGGAAGGAAATGAAGCTTAAGAGGAGGAAAGACTTGGAAGAGGTAAGGGAAATGAGGCTCAAGAGGAGAAAAGACTTGGAAGAGGTAAGGAAATGAAGCTTAAGAGGAGGAAAGACTTGGAAGAGGGAAGGAAATGAGGCTTAAGAGGAGGAAAGACTTGGAAGAGATAAGGGAAATGAGGCTTAAGAGGAGGAAAGACTTGGAAGAAGGAAATGAGGCTTAAGAGGAGGAAAGACTTGGAAGAGGTAAGGAAATGAGGCTTAAGAGAAGGATAGACTTGGAAGAGGTAAGGAAATGAGGCTTAAGAGAAGGATAGACTTGAAAGAGGTAAGGGTAATGAGGCTTAAGAGGAGGAAAGACTTGGAAGAGGTTGGAGAGGAAAGACTGAAGCTTAAGAGGAGGAAAGACTTGGAAGAGGTAAGGAAATGAAGCTTAAGAGGAGGAATGACTTGGAAGAGGGAAGGGAAATTATGCTTATGAAGAGGAAAGACTTGGAAGAGGGAAGGAAATGAGGCTTATGAAGAGGAAAGAATTGGAAGAGGGAAGGAAATGAAGCTTAAGAGGAGGAAAGACTTAGAAGAGGTAAGGAAATGAGGCTTAAGAGGAGGAAAGACTTGGAAGAGGGAAGGGAAATGATGCTTATGACTTATGAAGAGGAAAGACTTGGAAGAGGGAAAGGAAATGAGGCTTATGAAGAGGAAAGAATTGGAAGAGGGAAGGAAATGAGGCTTAAGAGGAGGAAAGGCCTTGAAGAGGTAAGGGAAATGAGGCTTAAGAGGAGGAAAGACTTGGAAGAGGGAAAGGAAATGAGGCTTATGAAGAGGAAAGAATTGGAAGAGGGAAGGAAATGAGGCTTAAGAGGAGGAAAGGCCTTGAAGAGGTAAGGGAAATGAGGCTTAAGAGGAGGAAAGACTTGGAAGAGGTAAGGGAAATGAGGATTAAGAGGAGGAAAGACTTGGATGAGATAAGGAAATGAGGCTTAAGAGGAGGAAAGACTTGGAAGAAATAAGGGAAATGAGGCTTAAGAGGAGGAAAGACTTGGAAGAGGTAAGAAAATGAGGTTTAAAAGAAGAAAAGACTTGGATGAGTTAAGGGAAATGAGGCTTATGAGGAGGAAAGACTTGGAAGAGGTAAGGGAAATGAGGCTTAAGAGGAGGAAAGACGGGAGAGATAAGGGAAATGAGACTTAAGAGGACGAAAGACTTGGCGGAAATGAGACTTAAGAGGACGAAAGACTTGGAAGAGGTAAGGAAATGAGGCTTAAGAGGAGGAAAGACTTGGAAGAGGTAAGGAAATGAGGCTTAAGAGGAGGAAAGACTTGGAAGAGGTAAGGGAAATGAGGCTTAAGAGGAGGAAAGACTTAAGGAGGAAAGACTTGGAAAAGGAAATGAGGCTTAAGAGGAGGAAAGACTTTGAAGAGGTAAGGGAAATGAGGCTTAAGAGGAGGAAAGACTTGGAAGAGGTAAGGGAAAAGAGGCTTAAGAGGAGGAAAGACTTGGAAAAAGGAAATGAGGCTTAAGAGGAGGAAAGACTTGGAAGAGGTAAGGAAATGAAGCTTAAGAGGAGGAAAGACTTGGAAGAGGGAAGGAAATGAGGCTTATGAGGAGGAAAGACTTGGAAGAGGGAAGGAAATGAGGCTTATGAGGAGGAAAGACTTGGAAGAGGGAAGGAAATGAGGCTTAAGAGGAGGAAAGACTTGGAAGAGATAAGGGAAATGAGGCTTAAGAGGAGGAAAGACTTGGAAGAGATAAGGGAATGAGGCTTAAGAGGAGGAAAGACTTGGAAGAGGTAAGGAAATGAAGCTTAAGAGGAGGAAAAGACTAAAGGAAATGAGGCTTGGAAAGACTTAAAGGAAATGAGGCTTTGGAAGAGGGAAGGAAATGAGGCTTAAGAGAAGGAAAGACTTGGAAGAGGGAAGGAAATGAGGCTTAAGAGGAGGAAAGACTTGGAAGAGGGAAGGAAATGAAGCTTTAGAGGAGGAAAGACTTGGAAGAGGTAAGGGAAATGAGGCTTAAGAGGAGGAAAGACTTGGAAGAGGTAAGGGAAATGAGGCTTAAGAGTAGGAAAGACTTGGAAGAGGTAAGGAAATGAGGCTTAAGAGGAGGAAAGACTTGGAAGAGGGAAAGGAAATGAGGCTTATGAAGAGGAAAGAATTGGAAGAGGGAAGGAAATGAAGCTTAAGAGGAGGAAAGACTTGGAAGAAGGAAATGAGGCTTAAGAGGAGGATAGACTTGGAAGAGGTAAGGAAATGATGCTTAAGAGGAGGAAAGACTTGGAAGAGGTAAGGGAAATGAGGCTTAAGAGGAGGAAAGACTTGGAAGAGGTAAGGAAATGGAGCTTAAGAGGAGGAAAGACTTGGAAGAGGGAAAGGAAATGAGGCTTATGAAGAGGAAAGACTTAGAAGAGGTAAGGGAAATGAGGCTTAAGAGGAGGAAAGACTTGGAAGACGTAAGGAAATGGAGCTTAAGAGGAGGAAAGACTTGGAAGAAGGAAATGAGGCTTAAGAGGAGGAAAGACTTGGAAGAGGTAAGGGAAATGAGGCTCAAGAGGAGGAAAGACTTGGAAGAGATAAGGAAATGAGGCTTAAGAGGAGGAAAGACTTGGAAGAGGGAAGGGAAATGAGGCTTCAGAGGAGGAAAGACTTGGAAGAGGTAAGGAAATGAAGCTTAAGAGGAGGAAAGACTTGGAAGAGGTAAGGGAATGAGGCTTAAGAGGAGGAAAGACTTGGAAGAGGGAAGGAAATGAGGCTTAAGAGGAGGAAAGACTTGGAAGAGGGAAGGAAATGAGGCTTAAGAGGAGGAAAGACTTGGAAGAGGTAAGGGAAATGAGGCTTAAGAGGAGGAAAGACTTGGAAGAGGTAAGGAAAAGGCTTGAGAAAGACTTAAGAGAAGGAAAGACTTGAAGCTTAAGAGGAGAGGGAGAGGAAGGAAATGAGGAGCTTAGAGAGGAGGAAAGACTTGGAAGAGGTAAGGAAAAAAGGCTTATGAGGAGGAAAGACTTGGAAGAGGTAAGGTAATTAGGCTTATGAGGAGGAAAGACTTGGAAGAGGGAAGGAAAAGAGGCTTATGAGAGAAAGACTTGAAGAGGGAAGGAAAAAGAGGCTTATGAGGAGGAAAGACTTGGAAGAGGGAAGGAAATGAGGCTTATGAGGAGGAAAGACTTGGAAGAGGTAAGGAAATGAGGCTTAAGAGGAGGAAAGACTTGGAAGAGGTAAGGAAATGAGGCTTAAGAGGAGGAAAGACTTGGAAGAGATAAGGGAATGAGGCTTAAGAGGAGGAAAAAGACTTGGGAGAGATAAGGGAATGAGGCTTAAGAGGAGGAAAGACTTATGAGCTTAAGAGGAGGAAAGACTTGGAAGAGGAAGGGGAGGCTTAAGAGGAGGAAAGACTTGGAAAGAAGGAAATGAGGCTTAAGAGGAGGAAAGACTGAAGAGGTAAGGAAAATGAGGCTTAAGAGGAGGAAAGACTGGAAGAGGTATGAAAGAGGAGGGACGGGAAGGAAATGAAGCTTAAGAGGAGGAAAGACTTGGAAGAAAGGAAATGAGCTTAAGAGGAGGAAAGACTTGGAAGGGAAATGAGGCTTAAGAGGAGGAAAGACTTGGAAGAGGGAGGGAAATGAAGCTTAAGAGGAGGAAAGACTTGGAAGGGGGAAGGAAATGAGGCTTATGAAGAGGAAAGACTTGGAAGAGGGAAGGAAATGAAGCTTAAGAGGAGGAAAGAATTGGAAGAAGGAAATGAGGCTTAAGAGGAGGAAAGACTCGGAAGAGGTAAGGGAAATGAGGTTTAAGAGGAGGAAAGGCTTGGAAGAGGTAAGGAAATGAGGCTTATGAGGAGGAAAGACTTGGTATGAGGGAGGAAAGAGGAAGAGGTAAGGGAAATGAGGCTTATTGAGGAGGAGGAAAGACCTTGAGGAAAGACTTGGAAGAAGGAAATGAGGCTTATGAAGAGGAAAGACTTGGAAGAGGTAAGGGAAATGAGGCTTAAGAGGAGGAAAGACTTGGAAGAAGGAAATGAGGCTTAAGAGGAGGAAAGACTTGGAAGAGGTAAGGAAATGGAGCTTAAGAGGAGGAAAGAATTGGAAGAAGGAAATGAGGCTTAAGAGGAGGAAAGACTCGGAAGAGGTAAGGGAAATGAGGTTTAAGAGGAGGAAAGACTTGGAAGAGGTAAGGGAAATGAGGCTTAAGAGGAGGAAAGACTTGAAAGAGGTAAGGGATAATGACCTTAAATGAAGGAGTTTCACGGGACAAGTTGAGAGAAAAGAAAGAAAAAAAA